AACAAAAAAGCGAAAGAATTTGAAACGCTTATCACGATGTTTTATTCATTTATTTTATTCAGTTGTATTCATTCGATGTGTCAGTCGGTAACGCGTGAGTGGTGTTTCTGCGAGGCTCAAACGAAATAAAAAATGGCACATGTTTACGAAAATGCTGAACTTGTGGACATGATTCTGATTTTACAAAATGCTGCTACGGCAACACGGATTTATGCGGATCGGTTTCCCAATCGAGTGCAACCAACCCCTAGTGCCTTTGTTAATGTAGTACAAAGGGCTCGTGAATCAGGTGACTTAAGTCCTCACACGGGAGGGTATGTGCTCCAAGACCGTACGATCAAATACAGGTCCGCACTGAAATACTTGTCGGGAGGATATTTTATAAATCAAGGTAACATTTTTTTTAAATTTTTTTTTAATTTTTACACACATATTTTGGTTTATCTTCCTTCTACAATCATTATCTGAAAATTAATGACTCAACTTCAAAGTCACCCTGTATATATATATATATAACTTGAGACGTTTCCCTCATCCTATACGAAAACAACAATTAGCAACATCCTCACATACTACTGTAAGTTGATTCAATTTAAACTCATTTTACACTTTTGTTGCTACTGTTATCATTGTAATTGCAGCTCCTGATGATGATGGCAAAGTCCATTGAAAGCTAGAGAGAATTAAAAAAAGTATAAAGAGTCCTCTTTGCTTAAATTTTGTCGAAGTACCCAACAAAAGGCGGAAGCTTTAATTTTTCACATATATATACAGGGTGACTTTGAAGTTGAGTCATTAATTTTCAGATAATGATTGTAGAAGGAAGATAAACCAAAATATGTGTGTAAAAATAAAAAAAAAATAAAAAAATTTTTTTACCTTGTTTTATAAAGTATCCTCCCGACAAGTATTTCAGTGCGGACCTGTATTTGATCGTGAGGTCCACTGTGAGGTCTGAAGTCACCTGATTCACGAGCCCGTTGTACTACTATTAACAAAGGCACGAGGGGTTGGTTGCACTCGATTGGGAAACCGATCCGCATAAACATGTGCCATTTTTTATTTCGTTTGAGCCACGCAACAGACACTATTCACACGCGACTTGCACTGATTGTATGTATAACTGAACTGAATAAAGTAAACATCGTTCCAAATTCTTTCGCTTTTTTGTTTCCGATGCGATGAACCGATAAGGTGGATTATATCCGTTGTTGCCAAACACGAGCACATGATGTTATTGAGACAAGGCGGTACTCAAACTTCCAAAGGGCTATAACTTTGTTACTTTAATTTTACCAGAAAAATGGTAAAGGAAAAAAACATTTCTTTTGATCAGATCTACTCACTGTTAAAATAAATGACTCAACTTCGAAGTCACCCTGTATATTCATATTCTAACACATTGTGCTTGACTAATAACCAAAGGGAAGAGTTAGTATCTATGGTTAGTGTTGGGTATTGAGAATGAGATGGTCCGATATCTAAATGCTATCATAGTGAATTCAGTCAAATTCTGTTGTAAGTTTTTCGGCATCGGTGCTGCTAATTAGTGTATATATACAAGGGTGTCCTAGAACTAACACACCAGGCCCGTGAGGTAGATTGGCTGCAGATCAATTAGATAAAGTCAACATGGCCTTAGTAAAAGTTTTCTAGTCTTCGAGATATTGTCACTTTTAGGCTTTTCCAACCCCTACTTTTTGCTCCTTTTTTGCCTATTAAGTAAACCATATATTTCATTGGAAAAAAATAAGTTATTACATTTCATTTCAATGTGAAAATCTTTACTATAGTTTGACTAATCACTGTGAAAAAAATGTACCAGACTGAATCGGCAAATGATCTTAAAAACTAAAATTTTCATTAATTTTTTGGAAGATGTGCCTCTTGACAGAAGAAGAAGGATGTGGTAACAGAATTATGGGTGTCCTGCGCATTATGGTAGTGCAGAGATAAAACATTCCCTAGACTCAGAAGATGGATTGTCTTTCTATGACCAATTATTTTGTAACCCCCACGCCCTCTTGACCTGAACCCTCTGTATTTATTTACTGGGGATGTTTAAAACACTTTATATGAAAAACCAGTTCGATCACCCGATGGACTGCATCGTCGAATCCATCAAGCAGTACGCAAAGTATCCGATTTAAGTTTGAAACGTTTAGAAGGACAATTTTTAAGAAGATGCAGGTTGTGTATGAGAGTCGATGGTAGATATTTTTAAAATATGTTGTGAAATAATAGTAATAATGATAATAATAATCATTATTTTATTTCAGTCAATATTTACAAGATTATTTAATTTTTAGTTAGTTTATTTGAGATGGTAGATAATAATAATTCCTAATTCTTTATTTGATTTAAATGTAAAAATTAATGGAAATAAAAAATATAACCTAATGTCCTGTTCATTATTTTGATGCCTGCATACAATAATAAGAAAGGATAATGGATAGTTATTTTAGACATTTGCTAAAATAAAAAGCTATTACAGTAACAACAAAGTTGTAATTTGGAAACAAAGGGCAACTGCACTTCTTATTTTTTATTTGTAGTATTTCGCGAGTATTACAACTTCCACGACAAAACTTTTGAATTATTCAGTTTTTAGTGAAAAGAACCTACAAATGTTATAGTATTTTTGAAAGAGCATTAAATATCTAATTCATTTGCTAATACAGTCTGGTACATTTTTTTCACAGTAATTATTCAAACTTGGTTTTCGCATTGAAACCAAATGTAATAATTTAGTTTTTTAAGCATACCATCCTAGTTTTCAATGAAATGAATACTCGGTTGTCTCAATCAATTACCAATTGTAGCCCAGGAAAAAAGTTAGAAGTTGTTCATAGCCATTACAGGCAAAAAAGTAGCAAAGGTAGGGATTTCTTGAAAAACTTAGTAGTGACAATATTTTGAAAACTAGAAAACCATTTCCAAAGGTCATGTTGATCTGATCTGATTCATCTGAAGCCAATGTATATCCCGTGTCAATCTAGCGTGTTATTTCTGATATATTTATAAAGCAGCATCTCAAAAAGTTTAGAAAAACCACATACGAGCGATATCACCCTATAGTTTTTTTACATCATTCACATTTCCGCTCTTAAAAATAGGACATACCTTGGAAGACTTCCAGCAGACCGGAAAGACATTTTGAAAATTTGACATACAGGCTTAACAAAAGTTCTTATGCAGTATTTGACAATGTATGTCGGAATTCTACCTGGACCACTAGATGGCTTAGACTTAAGTTTTGTGCAGGCTTTTACTATACAGTTTTCGCTAAATCGGAAAGAGAGATTCAGAACTACATGCTTCTTGGTATATGTTTCAAGTAACAAATGAATCGTTATATACTGTATTAAAAAATTCGCCTGTCACAATGATTATGAGTCACGAAAACATATCAACAGGTTCCTTATTTTAAAGTTTATAATTCCAAAATCCTTTGGGACTATTAGAACTGTTATATTGTACGTCAGCGATGTAATTCTTGTACGCATGGCTAATTTTCAAATTTATCTTAGATCTAAGTAGCTTAAATTTGCTCCAAATTCCCAGTTTCCTTAAACTTTTTGTAACAGTTTTGCTTTTTTTATATCCCTGATTACATCCGCCGTATACCATCTCAGGTAACGAATTTTTTAAACTTAGGTACATGCTTTCACGCTGACGCCAATTCCAGTCAATATTTAAGAATAGAATAGAACAGAGGTTACAAATATTAGCTTTACTAAAAATGTACTTCACCTCGATATTGTGGAACTCAAAGGCTGTATTTATTGTGTTCTTTACTAGTTTTCATATTTACCGAAAGAGCAGTGCGATGAGGGTCTTCTCGAGCAATAGGTACATCTCTAGATACTTGACACTCTTGGTTTGATATCACTACATCCAATCGCCTACCATTTCCATTCATTACATCATGATACTGGTTAAAATTGAGCAAATCTAAAAAGTTGCTGAGTAATTCACACTTAATGCCTGTTTGTCCTTCGATACTGCTGCCATAGTTTTATGTATTTTGTTCCATTTAAAACTCCAAATAATAAAATCTTTTTGCCATATATTGTTTCTAGCAGTTCAGAGTATTCGAATAGCTGTTACTGAGAGTCAGTACTGACCATCGAATATTTCAGAATTATGTACAATGCGAGTTAGCCACGTCTCGGTTATTTCATATAAAACATTCTGCCAAACTTACATGAGCAAAGACGTCATCTATTTTTGAGCTCATACATCTGATGTTTTGATAAAAGATGGATAATTCATATTTCTTATCATAAGCTGCACTGATGGGTGATTCTAGCAATCGATTTAGCTTTCACAACCTTAGGAACACCTTCAAAGTATTCAATTTGTATTTCACTTTCAGCGTTCTCTCTTCGTTCTGCAAATTCTTTTTCAATTTTTTAGTATGGATTCCTGTGCATGGGAGTACGGTCATTCACGATCACGATACCCTTGAAAGTGTGATTCTCCTTAATTAGCTTGATACCCTTGAATACCATTTTTATGTTCGATTCGCTGGTCATTAGCGGTTTGACAGTTCGAAGTTTTTGGTGGATGAGGTTTTGCTAATCCTAAAGTGTTTAATATCAGTTGGTGTAGAATCAATATTCACCAATATTCCAGACTAGCTCTTTTTCCCCATTTCGGTCATCATGATCCGGAAAACCAAAAATTATAATGTTATTTTTCCTTACTTTACCCTATTGAATTTCTTAGACGACCTGTTCAGCAGAGCTGTGTAAGATTCTGATGCACTGATACTCACTGACGCCTATGCAGTATACGGTTGACTATAATACATATATATGACAATTTTTTATTGAAACAAAGTGATAACGAATTTAATTCCCCACAGAATTATGTTGTCGCCAAAATTGTAAGAAAGAATTACCTATTTTCTGACTTATCAATAACCGGAGAATAACAATTGTTTTAAGAAACAAGTCCCTGAATTTGACGGCCTCGAAAATTATTGTAAAACTTACCTGTAAGGGAGCCGCCCAAACCACATGGATGAAAGTTACAGCCAAATCAAGTCTGCTCATATCAGTTGAGAAGAACTTCACCAACTTTTCAGCTTCAGTATCACCTCTACTCAATTTCAAAGCTTTTCGGTATATCAACGAACTACATGCTATTCTAATCTTCATACCTACGAAATACACGCTGTTACTTAATTGAATGTCAATGTTTAGGGAGGGGTTTCTTGATCCATTTTAAGAAACTTCGTATGAACGTATGTCCTGAACTTCTTAACTGTAGAGGTACAGGTCGGCAAGGATGTGAAAAATTATTAATTTATTAGTTTTTCATCAAAAAATCCACTCATATCGTTTCACAACCGCGTTATTGGAGGCGGCTAATGACATAGTCCCAGGAGTTGAAGAAATATTTGCATGAGTGCATTGTATCGGAAAGCTATGGATATGAATTTCATTTGGATAAATTGAGGTTTTCAATTTCTCTTTTTTTTCGACAAAATCCGCGTTACTTACGGATTCGGAGTAGGTAGAAGGAACAAGTATGCGACAAAATTATGACGTGAGCAGTAAGAAAGCAAGTTCATACTACAAGTCGATCAGGCTTATGCCCTCAGTTTGACAGTTGTTGACATTTCACATTAAATTCATATTTTTCTGTGAAAACATAAAAGTTGTCGAAAATACTTCTGTGGATTAAAAAGGCAGTTAAGCCTTTTTATCGACAAGTGTCGGCGTTGCGGAAGGGTATGTACCTCAGGGCTTTTACCTGGGTTGTGAGGTAATTCTGATTTAGGTATTTCTTTCACTTCTTGTTTCGTTGAGCATTCAATCACAATCTAACGTTTTAACAGAGGTGTATCAACTGTATCCAGCAATACGAAACGGTAACAGATACGAGGTCGCTTAAATGGGGCAAAGTTGTGTGTTAAGGTTACTAACAAAATGCCGCTTAGAAAGTTTCATAATTTCAAAGTACTTCCAGAGAGAGACGAAAAAAACGAACTTTTCCAAAATCGATCCAGTTTTTTCCTGACTTTCTTTGTAGTGAGACTTATAAATGACTTGCACATCAACAGTGCCATTTTCCCCTACAAGACGCGATAATCAGAATTGCAATATGACATTTCGCCTGTTGTCTTTCAGCATCAACATTATTTTTCTGATGCACGCCGTATTGGATTTTTGCACAGATAAATAGGGTTCTTAATTTTAATTCCAAAAATCTACATACGTTGCCTACCAAAAAATAGAATTTCTTAGGTAGGATTTGAAATTTCCAGATAATCATTTATTTCGTATACCAAATTTATCACAAAATCATTTTTATATCTTCATTGTCATTGTTTCTCCTCTACAACATTGCGTGTTTAAATTTTCAATTCAAAGCTTCTTTCTTCGACTTCCATCGCCAACTTAATATGTGAAGTTTATCGTTTATAGATGTATTATGTTCATAACTAAATGCAGAATCAAAACTTGTGTATGCACAAAATTTCAATAGGGAGTCAATAAAAAAACAAAGTTGGGGATCAAGATTTACAGCAAATACGTCTAATTGAGAATTCTTGTGGAGGAGAAAGCGTGGTAATTTATTTTGAAATCTCATTTCAAATAAAACCAGGAAATAACGGAAACAACGATTTTTCAAGAAATCCAAAACACATTTTTTGCAACAGCTCAGGTTTCACAATGCCGATGCATGGCAGATTATACAGGGTGTCCGCAGAGTTGGGGTTTTCCTTTACACGACGTGTAGATCTTGAAAACTTAAGCAATTTTTCTTAGTACCATATACACCAATGTCTTAAGGGAACCGAGATAAAGGGCTCTGCAACATCAAAAATATCTGAATACCGTCCTGTAGCCGCGACATCACCGACTGGTACAAGGTAACTGGCTCAACCCGACGACAGAACTGGGTCGGGGTCGGTGTGTCAGGTCAGTATGCAACCTTCAACCGACGGTTACGGTCCGTGTGTAGAGGTAATCGCGTAGACGAGAATCCCTCAACAAGCACTAGAGACGTGGCTAGAGAAGTGCAAGTATCAAAAACTAAAGTGTGGCAAACGCTGCGTGAAGAGGGGCTGTATCCGTTTCACGTCCAACGTGTACAAGCCCTTCAACCTGACGATTTTCCAGCAAGAGTGCGGTTTTGTGAGTGGTTGTTGCATCAACATGACAATAATCCGGACCTTTTTAAGTGCATATTGGTAACAGACGAATCTACGTTCACGCGTGATGGGTGAATAACTTTCGCAACACTCATGTTTGGTCAGTAGAAAATCCGCACGCTGTCCGTCGGGCACATTTTCAACAAACATTTTCGGTGAATGTTTGGGCTGGCATGGTGAACGGTATGCTCATTGGACCATTTATTCTCCTAAATCGATTGGACGGGATGCAATACCTAGACTTTTTACGCAACATTTTGCCTTCCTTGTTAGAAGATGTGCCATTAAGTGTAAGACAATCAATGTGGTTTCTGCGTCTGCAAGGTAGCGCTTCAGGTGATTTCATTTTCTGTTGGAGCGGTATGATTTCGGGCAGAGACGTACTTAGCCCTTCTCGTCAACTGGAGAGTGAGTACTTTTTCCTTTATTTTTTTTTACTTGGTCGCCCTCGTTTCACTACACATTACCTTTGTTATTTCAAGGCTAGTTGTTTCTGAAAAGGAAAACCCCAACTTTGCGGACACCCTGTATATTTTTAGAATTAAGAACTCCATTCAGACCAGGGGCGAAACGTCATATTGAAATCCTAATTATACCATTACGTAGAGGAGAAAAGTTGCAATAATAATGTGCAATTTATACACACATACACAAATAATGACAGTGTCTCTTTCCGGAAGTACTTTCATTTTCAGAACCTTCTAAACGGTATACCTATTGTTAGTTACCTAAATATGCAACTTTACCCCCATTTAAGCCACCTCGTATCTCCTACCATTTCCGAGATCGCAATGGTGAAGGTCGAATTTGAAACAGCCTGAATACGCATATACTGAAGAAAGCCAACTGAAACTGTAATCCAGCAAAACTAAAATAAATTCATCTGTATCTACTTTAGTTTTGAATCTCGAAGTCGTTAGGAGAGGTACTTTCGTGTTATAAGTAGTAATATTACCACTCCATTTTTGTGCTACCAGATTTTGTGAATGTAGCTTAGTTCGCCCGAAAACTATGAATATCAAATTAATTCAAATATAACACACTTAACTAGGTATTTGCTTTTAACCAGGAATGTAGGTATCCTGCCATTGCTACTGTTTGCTGGAAAGAATGTTTCGTATTGGTCACCTTTAGCATTAAGCATAATTCTTCGTATGCTTTACCCTTAACGACTATTCAATTTCATTTCTGTGCTTTGTTTAATTTATTCCTTGTTATTAACATACTCGTACACTGTACACCCAGTATGATTGGTTACTTGAATGTCCTCTTCAGAAAAAAGGTGCTTTGATGCATTGGTTTGACACTTTATTAGGCAACGGTGGGCAGATTAGCCGTATCCAGTAAAACTACACAATGCAAACAAACAGTGCAATTTAAGCATATAGACTTGGTTCCTTCTAAACTATTCGAATTTGTTGGGTCATACCGACTAGACCAACAGCGCGTGAATGAGAGCTTCACAAAACTGGAATTTTTATAAGAACTCAGGGGATTCGGCTTTTTATAGCGTCTTACCAAGTTGTAAATTTCCCAGCATGTAATGGTGACTCAGAACTACATTCATAAATATAGCTACTATAATAGCAGCGGTGTATTGAATGGCATTAGATTCAGTAATACTCCTTTGACCTGGTTCGTAATATTCGATTAGTTTCAACAAACAAATAGGAATGATGAGCCTGAAAAAAGTATTATGATAGTTAATTTATTCAGATTTTGTGAAGCTCATAAGCAGGATACATGTGAAACAAATCTATATCATCTTTTTGTTTACCCATTAAAGATACAATATATTTATACTTATAATCCCGCTTGACCAGGTGGTTCCGATTCTTCAACATATTATATCAGAAAAGTACGAGGATTGTCCCAAAAATAAGGTTCTCAGGAATTCAGAGTGACAAGCCGATCTCCGCCGCTGAGCTGGAAAAAAAAGACTAGCGACGACTTCCTATCTAACGACAGACACAGTTTTTTTATACTCCAACTACCACGAAGGCCTAAGGCCTAAATACCCATTGGGAACCGTGAGGCTATAGGGGATACAGGGGAAAGGGAGAACGCCACACGGACTCTGGCGAGGGAACACGTGTGCATGCAACATACACACATTTTAAGTACTGTACTTTCAAACAGCGTCCTAGCGCTCATCCGGTTTCAATGGGCAGTCGAGCTCTGCCAAAGTTCCATTAATTTCGGCTGGTCGGAGTCCAGATTACCGAGGACCTGATCTGGCACGAACACATCTCGCCAATAGCGACAGCTGCTGGGAAAAAGCTAGGCTATTTGTTTAGGGTTAAGAAGTACTTTTCTCCGCCTGACCTTCTCACTCTATACCTAGATAAGGCCTAGCCTCGAGTATTGCTCACACGTTTGGGGTGCTCGCGCCCCGACTACATCATTTATGCTCAATGCTGTCCAGAGGAGGGCGGTCCGACTGATCGATGACTCTTCTCTAACAGGCAGTCTCGGGACCCTTTCGAACCGGCGGGCGGTCGGCGATCTAGCTCTTTTCTGCCGCTACACAAACGGGCTTTGCTCCTCAGAACTCTCTTCCATGATGCCGCCGCGCGATGTGCCTGCCAAACAAACCCGCCTGACTTTGGTGTCCCATCCTAACCGTGTCCAACTTCGTACATCCAGAACTGTCCGATACGGCCGCTCCTTTGTCCTGAGGGTGCCGAGATTGTTGAACAATCTACAAGAGGAAGCTTTTCCCGGCTCTACTAACCTTAGGCAGTTCAAAAATCGTATTAACAAAATTTCTCTGGGATCATCATAGCAGCCGCGGTGTCCCAGCATTTAGGCTTCTGCCTGCGCGGCTGCTTCGGTATAAAAAAAGCTTCATCTTCAACTTCCACGGAAGATGCGAGGCGAAAACACTGGATCAGGTGAGGGGAAATCCAAAGCTGCATGCGGCTGTTCCCCCTCTCTCGATTCCTCCCGGCGACACTGCTGCGCCGCCCATTTTTGGCTCAGCAACCGCCCAATATGGAGTTTCCCATTTTCGATCTCGTCAAGTGCAAGAGTCGTCTCATAGCTCGCTTTTTGGGGGATTTTATTTCTTGATAGTTTGTAAAAGTTAGCACTCTGATTTTGTTTAACAGTATTTTGAGATCGACAAATATGCCACTTTGGGTTAAAAGTGAGCTTAAAAGTAGTTATCCATCATTGTCAAAATTTGACAAAACACAACACCGCAGATGATGCAAAACTTCTCGAATTTTGGCGTAAAAAAGTATGATAAACTTCAAGTTCGGTAGTCTGCCATGACAAAGACAGCGTAGGTAAAGTTCTGTTCCCATAGCCAACGTACAATTTGGTGTATCAACTTACAAACAACGAAATAGATAATGAATTTCATTCTTTCTTTTTACTTTGTTTTTCAAAGGTTTTCGCGTAAATGCAGTAAGAGAAGTCCCTTATGCATTCAAATGACGCACATTGTTTCAGTAACACGACAGATATCTTACTTGAAAACAAATTCTAAGAGAAATGTCATCAATCCACAAATCAGTATCTGCCACCAAAACACTCTCCAAATAGCCTTGAGCAATGATGGATTGGTAGCTCGACATTGTTCCTTCCACACTTTCTCTAGCTTTTCTCCCAGAAGGCTGGATACATACGATTTCGGTATTTTAGGTAAATTCCATTCTGCTTCACGTGTTTTGTATTCTCTGCGAAATATCGGTACTAGCCAACTGAAAATGTTTACGTTGAAGTTTCTGCATGCTGTGATAAAAAACTATTTTCCTCCCTATCAACACTATGATCTATGAGCAATATACAGGGTTCGTTTAAAGAGCATTTAATAGCAAAATACACGCCTTTACCTTGCCGGTATGAATCACAAACCATTCCGAAAAATAAATGTTATTATTTATGCGAAAAACAAAGGTTTCGTTTTTTCTTCTAAACAAATTCAAAAATTTCGTATTTGTGTGTAATTGAACAAATGCACTACGTTATTCGAGAAACATGCGTTACTATACACATTTTAAAACAAGTCGGATGTGTCTAGGATGAAATGTTTGAATTTGTTTACGATTCATATCGGCAAGGTAAACTAGTATATTTTGCTATAAAATGCACTTTGAACTAACCCTGTATATTGCTCAATAAACTGGTAATAATGGCCGGAAAACAGGTGTTTTGAGATAAGCAATTAGAAATTCTCAAAAACTACTTGACCAATCTACTCCAATTTTGTTGTGTTTATTTAGAAGTATGAATCCTACAAATTTGAAGAATCTCAAATATCTGAGAAACCATCGTTGCATTACCATCAAATGTCAAAATCTGCAGATTGCCTCGGTTTTCGGCCATAACTTTTTTGCTATTAGTCGAATCTTTTTACATGTGGTCTCATTTTGTTTGACTCATAGACACCTAAAATTCTTATATAAAGAGTTTTTCCTACCAACACTTTTGATTGAATCCCAAAAAACACGTTTTCTCATTCTTTGTTGTCGAATGAAAAGGTTTCCCACAGAAATTGGTGTACCCATTTTATGCGTCCATGCTTTGAATATCCCCTTACATAACTTGCAGCAATAAAACCAGACTTTACAATTGTTTGGCAAACCAGGGGTATTTTCGTCTAATATGATTAGACTAACAATAGTTGAACAGACACAACACTTCTAACGCATTGTAGTGAACTTTGGGATACCTTGAAACTAAACATGCTATTTTCAAGGAAACGTATTAATTGTTGTAAGAAAATTTGACTTAATATCTAATTATTCTTTTAGGAATGACTTAAACTATTGATGAACAATAATCCATTACCAGAAAAAGATTGTTGATATCAGGCCCGGCGGATCCATGGGGCGATGTGATCTTCTCTTGTCTTTGTCCATAGTGACCTGTACAATTTTGTGATTTTAAGGCTTTGCAACTAGAGAAACGGACAGCTTTGGATGCATACATATAATTTATTAAAACAGATATGACAGTGATAATGACAGATAAAATTGGTATCTATCCGCGAACATGATGGAGGCTAAACAATACATGATTCCGGGATCATGTTTTGAGGAAAAAATGTTTGATAGAATAGTAAAATAAGGCAGAAATGATAGTACTTCCCACACCAATTGGCAAAGAAACATTAGAATCACATGAATATGTCTAAAATGTTTTGTTTTTTGGATGTACTCGAAACATGGTGAGTTCATGACGTCGCCCATTCCCGTCTGGCTATTTGTCTGAATGTTTATTTGTCATAATTCGGGAAGTAGCACTCCCATTTGGATAGATTTTTAATTTAAAATTGGTACTACGCTAAGGACGAAAAAGCTTTGTAGGTTTTGAAAATCGATCCAATAGCAGCAGAGCTACCGTCAAAGAGACGAAAAAATGAAAATCGCTCAACTTAATTTTTTGACATTTGAGAGACTTTTTATATTTTTATAAAGGGTTTAAAAATTAGTTAGGGATTGTGAGGGATAGTTAAGTGTTGGATTTAGTCCTAGAAAGATCATCTACGTGCGCGGGTTAATGTTGCATCCTTGGTATCAGTGAAAGTCGTTAATAATATGCACTTGTTAGGCATATTAGTCACTCGTATTTGTCATACAGTTGCTTTTACTTCCCACGCATACTGGCGGGGAAATATTGTAATCACGAAACATTTTTAAAATAAGATATGCTTTCTGGATTTTATAATGTAATATGACATTCGTATCACGAAAGACCATGTCACTAATTTTTGAAAATTGGCCCAGTGGCGGCAGAGCAAAAGGCCTAAAACGCAAAAGTTAAAATCGCTCAAACTTCGTTTTTGACGCTTCAGAGGATCCTGATCATTTTTTAAAAAGAGTTTTAAAGGTAATACTTGGAGGTGGGAGTTGTACGGAGTTTGGATTGTTTATCTCAACTTTTTGATGATGCTACATTGATACGCTTCTAACCTTAGTAATTCTACGCACGTATTTGACATGTTTCACACATCTTAGATTTTTCTATACATTATCCCATAAAACTTGGTTTAAAATATGCTCGGCAGGTGGATAGCGTGTCTACCGGCCGCAGCTGCTGCTCCCGGCGTCATGTCGCCAGCTTTGGTGAGTGTGCTGTCGTTCTGGTATGGTGCCACGCGTATTTTTGGCGCATAGTGCCTCCTATGCTCTGACCGCGCTGCCACGTCTGACAAAGTTAAGTATCGGGGAGAGTCGGTGTTTCCAGATGCACTACTGGTAGGGCAGGTAAAGAATGTCTATGTCTATACTGATAGTATGGACCTGTTTGACTGGCATTTTTCTCAGAGAGTCTAATTTGTGCTGGACATAGATAGTCCTTTACGAACTGATAACAGTGTTTCGTGGGAAGCGCAGGGTCAACCCACTTAACGCCCATGCTTTTTGTTTTTACATTGAATTCGTTGCCCGAATATTAAAACTGATCAATTTGATCAATCATTTCCTGTGACTTCTTAGGAACTAATACTAAAGGCAATCTTTTACTTATGTATAATTATCACTACACAAAGTCGAAGGGCTTGCCTGTCTTCAATTGTCTGACAACGATGTGATTGCCGAGCAACTGAACAGCTCCTGCATTGGGGTGTTGATGCAGCCTTTTTTCGTGCCTGAGCGCCTTTCTTGATCTGGTCGATAGCCAGAAGGATGTTCAAAACCCAATAAATGCCCCTGTTACGGACATACCAAGAGGCTTTGTCCATGTTTCTCAGAACTTTCATGTAGAGTTTTGAAATAATATTTAGTGTAGGTTCAGTTCTTCCTTTGTTTTGTATGATGCTTTACAGTGGACAGAAAACAAACATGTATATTTAAGCCGTGTCGGTTTATGTATATAATTATTGCAGTTTTGCTCTGTAAATAAGTAGTATTCGGTCCACTGGACAGGTGACCATGATGGGGCCGTGCGACATCTGTACGCTTATCGCCTAGCACTAGGCAGCATAAGAGTCTCTCTTTTGTCCGCATCGTGTCGGATGATGGAGAAAACTCATACCCACTGGTAGATGGTGATTATCAGAATTTTCATCTAGTTCCGCATTATTGCCTTCAGTTTTTCAAAAGACCATATCCAGTTGTTTGCTTTCCATTTCGTCTGTCTCCAAGAATGTACCTAAGACCTATACCGCACCGAGTTGCTATTGAGCACAGCACGGGTATTATGTAAAAAACCCATAAAACGTGAAAAAACCTATAAAATGTCAGCTTGCAGACTAGGTAGTTTTTAGGGTGCTAACAGTCATTCCACGTTTGCTCACTAGGATCGTTGTAAGCGTCCATCTATGAAGCAATATCACTACATGCATTGCTGGTTGCATATGTTTTGTCAAGCCGAGTAGTCTATAGTTTTCATCTCCGAAAAGAAATTTGTTTGAATATCAAGATCGCATCTGGATGATAGTGTGTATTGGACTGCATGTTGCGTATAAAATCAGTGACACAAAATCCTTACTGAATATGCTGTCAATGAAGTATAACTACTAGCTGAATCCGACGTGTTATTTATACACCTTAGGAAAAACCATTGTTATACATGGGAAATCATTTCTTGGCAACAGCGCATCGGCTCGTCTACTTTGATCGCTATTCGTACATATTTCCTACCGTTAACCGCAGACCTGTATCACGAATGAGAATAATAGGCAGATACGCTGTGTTGCCAATTTGAGTAGAGCTTCCTGAATTGTGGGGAATTTAGAGTTAAGTGTTGATTCATTCAAACTTTTAATCAGCATGGCCTAGACGTTAGAACTTCATAAAGATAACATTGAAGCTGAATGCTGCTGGAATATAGTGTTTCGAATATTCAAAGCGGAGCGGGACACTATACTCGTTCAATGGGTCATCAAGCCACAGTCTTTTCAACAAAGAAATTATTTTACGAAAATGCGTTATATTTTTACGATTTTGTCGTCACCAAATCTCTGTTTCTCAAAATGTACGTCTATTGTAGAATTTTCAGCAAACTAAGCAAGAAACGTGATCTAGTATTTACTCAACATTACGGATTTCTCGAAATACATTAAAAAATGTGACCTAGATACTTAACTGCCCCAGGCTCTTTAAATATAACTCCTTAAACCAGGGTTACCAGGTGCTCAGTCACGTGGATTGTGATGTTGTACTGCGCAAGTCAGCAAACAATCTGGCGTAATAAACGTTAGGAATCATCAGGTATTGCCAGATTCCCGAATACCGGGCACCATAGTAACCGTTATAGTTGTCCTTCAAAGTTGTCAAATCGCCCCTATGGCGCGAATTCGCCACACCAGGCAACTGTGCTATAAACAAACCCTGTTTATCACTACTATTTGATAGTCATATGGTAGTTGTAGCCCTATCTAGCGGTCCACAAAAAAACCAATATAATTTCAAAAAAGTCGACATGATGTCACTTTTCAGGATACGTAATACCCGTGCGGAACAGCGTTGTCTGCGGTTAGTCATGCTACAACTGTTACATCGGTCATAGCGGGAGCTTGCGATATATGTATATGTAAGGGAGAGTTTCGGGCCTAGAACACTTTCCTGGATTAATCCAGCATTGATAATCAGAAGAGAAGAATACTGATAACACTGGACAACAAATTTTAGTTTTTTAATTGTATCTTGTGGGAAAAGTGCACTTCTTTGTTAATTTTGGGGCGCTGAATCCAAAAATGACAATGAAATAAAAAAATTAGTTGCGGTTTAGAAAAAAAACTTTATTTTTAAGGATATATTAAAAAAAGTAACAAGATTCATATACTTATAAGAATCACTATATGCGCTGTCTTTTTGCTGTTCTTTTATGGATCGTTTCTGGAGCATCTCTACCAAGAGTCCAACAGTAGTCTGCAAGCATGGAAGGATTCCACTTTCCTGGTACCTTTTTTCCATTGTTGAAATATCCTGATGAAAACGTTCGCCGTGCTCATCACTTACGGCTCCGCAATTGTCCGGAAAAAAGTCCAGGTGTGAGTGTAGGAAATGTATCTTAAGAGACATATTACAGCCCATCTTTTGATACGATAACAGCATATTTTTGACGAGGGTTTTATAGTTGTCAGCTTTTCTATTTCCCAAGAAATTAGTGACCAACAGACGGAAATCATTCCAAGCAGCTTTTTCAATACCTGTTAAAGTGTTTTCAAACTGTGTATCTTTCAAAATATTTCGAATCTGTGGTCCAACAAAAATACCTTCTTTAACCTTTGCCTCACTTATTCTTGGAAATTTCTGACGCAGGTATTGAAAAGCGGACCCATCTCTATCTAATGCCTTGACAAAGTTTTTCATTAGGCCCAACTTGATATGCAGTGGTGGTAATAAAATTTTTTTCGAATCTACTGATGGCATATGCTGTACATTTTTTTGACCTGGCTCTAGGAATTGACGAACAGGCCAGTTTTGTCTGGTGTAATGAAGTGCCTTTGCCCGACTGTCCCATTCACACAAAAAACAGCAAAACTTTGTGTAGCCTAGCTGCAGCCCAAGTAAAAGTGCAACAACTTTCAAATCGCCACAAATATGCCATTGGTGCTCATCGTATTTTATGCATGTCAATAACTTCATATTGTCATATGATTCTTTCATGTGAACTGCATACCCTACAGGAAGAGATGGTAAAATATTTCCAATATGCAATAACACTGCCTTTAAACTCAATGTTGAACTGTCTATAAACAATCTCCATTCTTCTGGGTTATAGTTTATATTTAAAGCCGCCAGTAAGCCGTTAATGTTACTGCAGAAAACCAAGTTATTCTCCATATTGAAAAATGGTTCTAAGTCTTTGTGGCGTTTACGAAAAACACATACCGAAACATCGTCTTCTAACAAGTTCCACTGCTGCAGTCTTGATCCAAGTAACTCTGCCTTACATTTTGGAAGTTCTAAATCTCTTACAAGATCATTTAATTCTGACTGTGTTATT